GTTAAATCTTGTTTAAATTTATACCTGCATCATTTCGAATATTTCAGTCTTATGATCTGCCTTAAATATTTTGTTATTTTTAAACAATTTGCAGATAAAAGACGATTCAAAATCATAGTGATGCATGACATCTACAGTGCTTCAAACAACTAAGTGAACACATATTCTGGACAATTTGCTGATAATATGGTGACTGGTGATAATATTGGATAATATAGGAAGATCAGAATATGCAAGTATCAGGGCAAGTACAACTATCAGAGAAACGTTTTAGTGGTGATGACATGATCAATTGGATGAGTTCATTATATATTCCGATGCTGTTAGATCTTACAATAAATACAAAATGTTTAAAAATCTAGTATTAAATATATTAATGTAGAACTTTGAATTTAAAGGTTTTATGAAATTTGCTATGCCAGCAATTCAAGAAAAGCTAATAACTTTTGAACCAGACACCAGAATATATTTGTAACAAGTCAAACCAATGCAATGAAATCTTAATGAATTACTGGATTGTTTAGACATGCATTAACAATGCCTTGTACTATATTTTTGCACAGTGAAATTCTGAAAAACAATAAATTGACATCATTAGTTGCTGTATATGCTTATTATTAAAGCAAAACATTTACTAATTAAAGTGACTCAATAATATATTGGCTGTACCATTGCTATCAACCAAATGTTGCTTTTAAATCGAGTGATTGTTGTAGCCATTTGTTCGCATTGTAAGAAAGATACTGCATCTGTCTTATTTTGACCATTATTCTTTTTTATTATTTACTTAAGAAATTCCTGGTTACTTTCTGATTGGCTAACAGCCAACTATGAAATTGTCATATCAACTCGATGGCTAACCAAATACGGATTTTTCACATTCATATTAGGAAAATGACGTCAAAGAGTCAATATGAAAAAAATTTGGACGCGTTTGCGCCATATTACTATGACAACGAGAATCATATTGACTCGCTGACGCCATTGATATGACGCAACGACGGCTGCCGAAGGACTAAGGAATTGTTTTTTCTTAATACAAATAAAATACCAATGTTTGTTTTGAATTTTTTAAATAAATAATAAAACAATTATTGAATTCGGTTTTCACACAATATGAAGAATTATCAAGCCCTCAGTTTGCTGTTATCAACCTCAGCCTTCGGCTTCGGTTGATAACGGCAAACTTCAGGTTTGATCATTCTTTATATCGTGCTCAACCTCATTCAAAAATTGTTAAGTAATTATTAATTTTGTATCACAATGAATGTTTGTGCTGAATGTTTATGACAATGTGAACTCCAGCTGTTTTAAACAGGCTGAATAGGCTAGCCACATGTACGCAGTGCGTACCTGTTTTTGTACATTTTTATTATACAATTAGCACAATTCTTAGACTATTGAACTTTGCAGTTGTGTAGCCATTTTCGCTTTTTAAAAATTTGTAATACAGCTGTAATTCTTTTGCCAAGAGCAGTATTTAAAGTCTATTATTATGATACCGAAGGTCGAGCCCAATATTGAAGTCGAGACTTAATATTTTGCCATATTGGGCGACAATGAATTCAAACAGGTGTTTTATTATATCGAACATAAAAGTTCTTTGTAAGCGATAACATATTACAGCCAAAATAATACACGTGGGCGGCGAATTTGATTAAATCACTAAACAAGAAAGTAACTAACTTCGTGCCGCTTGTATAAAACTCTTATACTTTTTAACCCGACTATTTTGTATTTAAATAGTAGTAAACTTTAAAATACGCGATCTTGATTAGTTAACTTACGCACCAACTGTAGTTAATTTTAACTACTTTTTTATACTATTGGCCCCTAGTTTTCAACAACAATTCTACATAAAAAAAACTCAATTCCATTCAGTAAGTCTGTTTTAAAGGTGATGTGACCTAATTTTAATGAAAAATTATATATCACTAACCTGGCGATTGTTGTAAACGAATAAATTTCGCAAAGACAAGTTTTTCCGCGCTTCTATAATTTTCACCAAAGCTGCAGGGTAGAAATAACTGTGCCTAAATAATGTTCCAAATCCTTTTCATTACTTTGCGATCTCATTTGTTTTGTGTTTGAAATTGGCAAAGCACCTGAAAAGGTTTGATCAACCAGGAAAACAGCCATGTTAAGCTACTGTTCAATATATATGCTCCTGTCCTACATCGTAAAATGTGGGACAAACACGTTACCCTGTTGAAGACTCGTGATTGGTCAATTGCATGCATGTGAGCATTTAATAACAGCTCATTTAGTCGTGTAAAGTGAGTAGCGAAAGTAAGATGGATTTTTGATTGGAGAATACGTAACAGACGAATTTTTTTCATCCGTCTGTAGTTAAAATCTGACCATTCTCTTTTTGATTTAGGAAATGACAATCCAATGCTTGTATCTGCGTCATTTGATGGAACTTTAAAGATTTGGGATGCAAAAAAGCATCAAGAAATCCATACCCTCCGTGGTCATAAAGGCGAGATCTATAGTGTTGCTGTGAGTTCTGATACGAAGCGTATTATCTCCGGGGGTCAGGATATGATTATGAGGTTGTGGTGTTTCCACACTGGGGAATTACTTTCCTGTTTTGAAGGTCATAGCGATCCAATCAAGTGAGTTCATAGACCTTGGCACCTTTCTGACAGCGCTACCATTCTCCCAATAGGGACCTTTAGCATGATGGACGGCAAGGCGAAGATCAAAACAAATTCCTTCAAATAAATAACTTTAAGGAAAACTTGTCGTGTATTATTCGTTGTACAAATTTAATACAGTTTTAGGAGGTTAAGATGGGATTTATATTTGAGAATATACAAGACGTAAAATCATTAGTTTGTTATTTGTAAACAGGGCGAGGAAGACATTTAAAACTCCCAAGGGACATTTACAGTAATCATTTCTTTATAACCCTATCATGAATTTCATTGTATTAATAGCGGTCGCCGTCCTGCTGGCTAAAGGTCCCTAATATATGCAGTTGTCAGATTATAATTTCACCGCAGTGTGTGCTTCCATGCAGTTTTACTCTACCAAACGCCACTGCACACGTTCTCTGGGTACTCTGGTTGGCTTCCTGACTTCCTCCACTAGTCACAATAAAGAGCAGCACAATCTGGTTTCTCTCTGCAGTACAACTCGGCCAATTGGCAATTGACTTTTACTGGACCTCTAGGGAGAATAGTTTAGAAGTGAAAAAATATCCAGTCCAAATGCAGTGACTTTTGTTGAGGTTTTCATCTGTAGACTGTAGTAACACTTGATTAATGTGAAATTGCCCTTACTCGACATCTACCAGGTCAGTTTAGAACGGACGGACCTGTCTTGTATAAATAAAGTTCGTTTTTAGTTACGGTTCGCTCAATAGAAACACTATAGGCTAACAAGGATAATCCTCTTTGCACCTCCAGAGAGAATAAATGACAAATAAAATAAGTTTAAATCGACAATCACCTTCTTGCATTTCAGTTCTCTCACACTAACTTCTGAGAAGTTCCAGGCGGTATCTGGCTCTTCGGATGATAGTTTCAGAGTGTGGAATCTGGATACTAGCGCACACTTGAAACAAGACAGGTCACGCGGTCATTCAGAGTCGGTCATTGCCATTGCAGTGACACATGATGGCTCGAGATGTGTTACCGCTTCCTTTGATGGCTTTTTCAAAGTATGGATGTGTGAAAACAAAAAGGAATGCTTTACTTTGAAAGGTATAAACAAAATTGTGTATTTGAGCCGGTTTTCTTCTTCAACCGTAACGAGATGTTACGTATTCTTTTAAGTCTGTTACAAACGAGCTCGTTTTCTATGATAAGTTTTCATATGACAAGCTTTATTTACTTGCCTGTAATGGCAACTTGCATAATTTTTTTTCATGACAAGTACAGATGTTGACTTGTCTTCGAAAAACTTGGCAATGTTTAAATTTTGGTCGTCTGTATGGGTCAACAAATAAAATTTGACAAGGTTATTTTTAAAGCACTTCCATGCAGTGGACAGCGATAATGATGTGGTTATTATAGATGTGTTTGAAATTTTCATCCAACAAAAACCCTTCTCAACCGTTAGTTCTATCGAGCGAGATCACAGGGGGTCGAACTAACAGCTGTGTTATGAATAAAACATATTAATTAAACGTAATATGAATAAAACATCATAACGTAATATTGCACTTACTTGTATAAATCATAAGAGCTTGCATTTTAATACAGTGAATAGCTTCAAAAACTTGCTTCGTTCCAAAGACTTCAAATATGGCGAATAAATTGACAAAACGATAATATTACATGACGTTCCAACGAAAATAACAGAAAGGATTGTGGGCGCGAGCGGAAGGCGGGGTAATATATATTAATAGAAGGGATGAAACACCGGTAATGCGATCGTGTGATGTGTTCCATAAGTAGCCTGTTCTCTCGGAAAATTCCAAAATGCCTCCTGCCAACTCCAACAACGCCTACGCGCTTAATTAATTAAAATAAACAATGTTTAGCTATACCGGCTAATATGAAATGTTTAAATGTAGCGACCAACTTTTTTTTTACATTATTTAGTTTTATTATTATTTCGTCATACGTCACGAGAACAGGCTACTTATGGAACACATCTCGCGATAATGGCCAAGAATGCTCGCTGTTATAAATCCCATAAATTAGATTGATCAGTGCTTTTTTGGTAATGACTAGGCTTGTTCATGTAAGAGAACATCGACTGAGCCTTAAAAACCCCACAAAAAGCTTAAACGGATAGTCTAGAAGCATTTTAAAAAGTCACGTGATATTTGTTTCATCCCTTCTATTTATTTCTTCCCTAGCCTTCCGCTCGCGCCCGCAATCCTTTCTGTTATTTTCGTTGGAACGTCATGTAATATTATCGTTTTGTCAATTTATTCGCCATATTTGAAGTCTTTGGAACGAAGCAAGTTTTTGAAGCTATTCACTGTATTAAAATGCAAGCTCTTATGATTTATACAAGTAAGTGCAATATTACGTTATGATGTTTTATTCATATTACGTTTAATTAATATGTTTTAGTTCGACCCCCTGTGGCGAGATGCCCAAATTAACGATAATGATATTAGGTATGTCGTAAAAGACATCACCTACCAGGTTCGTTTGGTTAAATATATTGAAAGAAAATAGTACGAAACGCTGTGTTTAAGAGTTAAAAACAGCACTGAAAGGAAAAAAAATTGTCTTGTGACCAAGGCACAGCTAATCTAAACTAATTGTCTAAATATCAATGTTTCTAATCTAGTATTATTCAACAGTTATCGTGGCGGCCAGACAACCAAAAATTTATCATAGAAAATTTGTTGTACATACACACGCGCAATTAGTACTTAAAAACTTGTGATAGAAAACTTGCTCGTCTGTAACAGGCTTTATTTCCTGACAACTAATGATATGGGCGCAAAAGAAAATCGGTAAGATACCGTTGAAGTGGAGAACAGCCTTATTTTTATACGAGACAAGAACCATCTGTCTGACGGATCTCTCTTAACAAAACCGTGTTTTATAAGTTATTGAATAGGGTTAATCTATACTGCTTAATGTTGACACATTGCAGGGTAGGAGGACAATGCTGAGGATAGCGGAGTTTATGTGACTTTAACCATAGATTTAAGCAGGAACGCTCCGGACATGAGCGAAAATATGCAAATGATGTTTACACTGTCTGCCTTGCTTTGGTCTACATTTTGCTAAAATAAACAATATTTGGCTTAAGCTAAAGTCTAAGATTTCTGGCTGTGTAAACGTATCACAATTGCCCTAGCTCAGGCCAGGCAAAAGGTAGTATAACCCGTGTTCCTATCGAATAATAACACCGGTCAAGAAAGACAGAAAGTTAAATTAAACTTGTTTTATTCACATAATTTCGCTTTAAAATATAAAACTAAATATTCACCCAAAGGCTATCGTTTCAACTTCGAGAATGCTGCTCTCTTCACTTCCTGTCATGTGACACAATGGAACTAAGCTAAACTAAACTAAAGCGGGGAGGGGTAGTACTTTAAAAACCCTAAACAGCTATTCCCCACACACTCTCCCCCACTTTAAGTGTGTCCATCCACACGCTATTCCAACGAAACACCCGTACTATTGTCTATAGGGTGATCAAGCCTAAACAAATCTAAATGCAAGTTTTACCTGTTACTATACTAGCGCCGTCCTAGCTTGTTTAATACAGTTCAGAGACTGTTCATTTTTTCTTTGCATCTTTTATGCAGCATCACAAGTTCAATTCTTTTTTTTTTCAAGAATACCTAATATTAACTAAAGTATCTGATAAACCATCTATTATGCATATGCACAGCTTGGACCGCCGTAGTAGACGGGTGGTTGTCTGTACAAAGGTGGAGTAGCAATCTGGGGAATGGGTTGTGGAAAGCGTAGGTAATTATTGGGAAAGCGTTGGGGGTAGAAATGATTGGGAAAAGGTTGAGGGTAAAACGTAGGCATGCTAGGATATGGAGGAAAAGGGGAACAAAACATCTCTTGTGGAGGGAACAATCTTCGTTTACCGTCTGTACACTTGACAAATAAGGGGGGAAATTCTGTCGGATTACCCATTGCGTCGTAATTTAGCATGTTAGGTGGCCGTCGCGTCCGAACTGACCATCGAAGCACAGCTTCCTCTGTTGGATCTTCGGTCTCGGCAGTGTCTGTACGAGTTGCTGGTTCTTGTATTGGTTCATCGGTATCATGACCGTGATTATCATCGAATTGTTCCTGTAACCCAGCGTCCAGTACTTCACAAGTTGCCGCAAGTGTTTCGGCCAAATTTTCTGTTGTTGTTGCAGGCTGGTTAGCATACACTTCAGCAGGAGTAAATCCGCAAAATTCTTCATCATCACTGTCACGTTCAGATTCTTCATATTCCGCACCTTCCCCACTATTTTGAGCCTTCCGTTCATTTCTTAAACGTTCAGGTTTAACCGATGGTATGAGATCCATTGAATTATCTGGGGACAAGAAGTCGCAAGGAAGGAGCAGATTTCTATGTAGAGTTCTTTTCTTGTTCGTGGCTAGGCCCTCGGGTTTCACCACGAATACTGGCATTTCTCCTTTCCACCACGACGTGAATCTGATCTTCTCAGTGGGACCGGAGTTTCCCAGGCCCACCACGTTCAGAGAGGTTTCGTACCAGGACTCTGTCTCTTAGCTTTAATTCTGTACAACGAATCTTCTTGTCGTAGTGCTTCTCCCCTATTTCTGCAGACTTTCTGCTGTTTTCTATCGCCTTCGCATAAGCTTCTTTCATTGCTCCCTTCCATTTTTTCACATACTGTGTGTGGTTTCCAGTGGTTGTGGTAGGTGATAGTCCGAAGAGGAGATCTATTGGTAACCGTGGAGGGCGGCCGAATAGTAAAAAGAATGGCGAGAACCGTACCCGGTAGCATTGTTCACTGTGCAATTATATGAATGAACGACCTTATTTACCGACATATGCCATTTGCTTTTCTGATTTTCTGGTAAAGTCCTTAACATAGCCAGTAACGTTCGATTCCGTTCAGCCTTGCCGTTGGCCTGAGGATGGTAAGGTGTTGTTCGACGTCGACGAATTCCAGTGACCTTTTCTAACTGATGGAATAGATTGTTTTCAAATTCTCTACCTTGATCATGTGGTATATGAGCAGGGAAACCAAACCGAAGGATAAAGTCATTATACATTTTTTCTGCTGCGGTTGTACTCGATTTATTTCTAGTCGGATATGCTTGTGCGAAGCGAGTGAAATGGTCGACGATAACCAATATGTATTCATATCCGCCAGAACTTTTCTCGAGATGCATGTAATCGATTGATATCAATTCGAACGGGGAACACGTTGTTATACTACATAGTGGTGCACATGTTGGTCGAGAGGGTCTACGTTGTTTGAGACAACCGCAAACATTAATTAGTAACAAAATGTGTTATTTCGCGTTCCATATTAGGCCAATAGAATCTTTTTCTCGCTAATTCTCTCCGTTCCTAAATGTCCCATATCCTGGTGCAGTTCTTTGTAAACCGTAGGGAGAAATTTTCTTGGCAAAACGAGTTGTGTGTATGGACCGCTTTCGCGACGTAGTAATCCGTCCTTTCCAATCTTAAGTTTATGCCATTGCTGCAACAGGGTCTCTCGGTATTGGGTAGTTCATTTTTCGCATCATGAATGGATGATAAATAAATGATCGTACCTTACCGATCGACAGATCTTTTTGTGCCTTGAGAATTACATCATTACCGATGCTCAATCTACACCCATCGTTAGTTAGAAAATCGTTATCAATATCCGGGAGAACTTCGTCGAGTGTTAGAGCTGTAACCCATGTAGCGTTTCCATATTGCTGTGCGGTAATACCCGTAATTACAGCCTTGATGTTTTCACTAGGTACCTCCTCCGTGCACATTTCTCGGTAATTTGCCAAGTCTACAGGCATCCTTGACAAAGCATCTGCATCTTGGTTATTACGCCTCGGGCGGTTTGGTTATTACGCCCCCGGCCGTACTTTATGTCGAATATGAAATCCGCGAGTTCGGACACCCAGCGATGACCCGTTGCATTTAATTTAGCTGTTGACAGTATGTATGTTAATGGTTATTATCTGTATAGATCGTAAAGTTCGGGGCATAGTATAAAATGTCTCGAAAGTGTTCGCAGACAGCCCACTTTAAGGCTAAGAATTCTAACTTTCCAGCATGGTACCTTCTTTCTGCAGGGCTTAGGGATCTCGAACCATACCCGATTACTCGCATCTTTATCTCTTACATTTGATACAACACAGCGCCTAGTCCCTGAAGTGATGCATCTGGTTGACTATAATCTGGGTAACCCAGGATGAGACAATCAAGAAGTTCACTGAGAGCATTCTGGTGTTGGCTTTGCCACTGAATTGGTTGTGATGATAGTACACTGTTTTTCACATTACTCGAGTTAGAATTCATATTAGGTGGAGCTTGTAACAAATCGAATAGTGGTCTTGCGATTCGTGCAAAGTCCTTAATATATCTCCGATAGTAGCCGAGAAGTCCCAGAAGTTTCTCGTTATTCGCCAATTGTCTTCGGTTCTGAGTCCTTTAATGCTCTTACTGCTTCAGTCTTTCCTGGGTCGAGTCTGTACCCCTCCGCTGACACAATCTGTCCCAAATAGTTAAATTCCCTTTGAAAGAAATTACACTTTTCTGGTTTTAACTTAATTCCATTGGCACGTAATCGTTGCATAACCAAACGGACATGCTCAACGTGTTCATCAAATGTTTTACTAAATATAATAATGTCATCTAAATATTGGATGCAAATGTCCTCTTTGAGACCCTCTAGGCAGTGTTCCATCAACCTTTGGAATTCTCCGGGTGCATTTCTAAACCCAAACGGTATGCGAACCCACTTGGATAAACCCCACGGGGTGATAACCTTGATGATAGGCCTTCCCCTGATCTAACACTTTGAACCATTTGTTGCCACCAAGGCTTTCGAGCGTCGCTTGCACTCTTGTAATGGATGTCTATCAAGTACTGTCTTCTTATTTAGTTGTCTGTAATCCACGCATAGCCGAAGGTTCCCATCTTTTTTTCTGACACAGACCACTGGCGATGAATACGACGAACGTGATTTTTGAACATATCGCTTATTCAGTAAATCCTCGACATACTGTTTAAACTCCGGATATAGAGGTCGTGGAATACCTGTGTAATTCTTCTGTACTGGAACTGAATCTGTAAGATGAATATTCATTTGTAGACCTTTAGCATCGCCAATTTCACCAGACTGTATAACATCCATTGGGTTTATTGATCTCGCCATTTGAAGCGTTCCTAACACAGTTCTCCTTTTCAATACAATAGCACGATTACTGGGATTGTTAACTTGAATACTGACTCGAGCTCCTCTTGACACAACTGTGAGTGTTTCTGGTACTTCTAGTCCATCCGCCCAAGGACATTCTGGGTTGGGCTCGAATAACGCTGGTACTCGCATTTCCAAGGGACCAACATCAACATGACAAACTACCTTTACCGATTGACCTGGTTGAATTACTATGTCTGGTTTAGTAGTTTTAACATTACACAAGTCATAGATCCTTTCCGATTGTAAAAACGCCACTAGAGCCTCAACTTCTGCACGTTCAATATCCATTAAACTACAACGTAGCACATCCACAAAAGATGTCTGTTTGCCTTGGTTAACTTTCACAGCCGATTTTCTAGTAATTTCTTGAATTACATTATAGCCCACAACCGGTAAATCGAGAACAACCTTGCTGACTAAAAATGGTATTTTTAACCCATAGTCACTATTTGTCCCGAGAAGTGAAAAGTCAATGTCCACCCACAATATGGCAGTGCAGTTCCATTTGCTGCTTTTAGCTCTAGTTCGTTAACCCCGAGAAGTTCCTCCACTCCCTGAATTTTTGCCTTTGGCAAATGTTCCTGAAGCCAAGCACTAGAAACAATTGAAACTTGGGCCTCTGTGTCCCAGAGAGCAGTTGTCTTCACCCCATTCAATGAACATTGTACAGTACATTTCCTCCCCACCAACCGTGTAATATTTTACTTAATTTTTCGAAAAATTGGTATTGTTTACTTCCCAGTACCAACACCGTCACATTCAGCAGAAAATCCGCATTTAACAAGCCTTCAAAACCGTATTTTTACGACTAAGACGACAGAATATAAACCCGTACTCAAGCCTTGACGAAATATATCCACATCTTTGCGCAGTATTTTCAACGTTAAAATCCCTTTGTGGGTCCTGGCAGGATCGCCAAAATGTAACTCGTGTTCCTATCGAATTGTAAAACCGGTTTATTCACATAACAACTTGTTTTATTCACATAATTTCGCTTTAAAATATAAAACTAAATATTCTCCCAAAGGCTATCGTTTCAACTTCGAGCATGCTGCTCTCTTCACTTTCTGTCATGTGACACAACGGAACTAAGCTGAACTAAAGGGGGGAGGGGTAGTAATGCAAAAACCCTAAACGGCTATACCCCTCACAGTAGCAGTTTGAACACGGCTTTTGTATAAACACAAGGCAAAATCGCAGTCTAGCTACAGTAGCACTATATTTATAATATAGTAACACATGCTCGTATAGGAACACCATACGCTTTATATTTTCAGTTCGTATTTTCTGTGTTTATATAGTATACATGCACATAGATTGATCAACCGTGTAGACAATGAATTACTCTTGTAAATTTCTGTATATATGCCGATAGTTGACGGACGTCTGTGTTTTGCGTTAATACACAGACTAATAATCAGACATACTCCCTTCCCAAGTTTGTCCAGTTTCCAGACGGTTATTATAGGGACCTTCAGATTGACGTTTTTTCACGAATATCTCAAACGGCTAGCTATCGCGTGACTACATTCCCGCGGTGGATTTTCTGTAAATTTTCAGGTTTCCAACTTGTGCAAATTGTTTTGACGTACAGAAAATATCAAGCTTTATCCTATAGTATTAACTAGAATAAATGCTTGTAATATTATCTTAACTTCATATTGCACTAAGTTTGAAAGACGAAAAACGCAAAACTACCTCTCTCCTCTGCAGCCCTTGGCTATGCCTTATCCAAAAGAAGGTCGAAAGAATGCTTAATTGGCGAAATAATGCTATATCGTTGATTTCCTCTCCGCATTTTGAAAAACGTGCTCCAAACTTTCCCAGAAAGTGTATAATACCAAGACGCTGATACCATGCAGTAACATAATATTGTACCTAATAGTACCAGTAACAAAATCTACAAAAGATTATATTGTTTAAGGTTGAAAAATATAATGACATTTCAACTGCATGGGAAATGACCCGCCGAAGTTGTACTTCGACAATAACCACATTGATGAACACTCAACACGTTTTTTTACAGACACTGTAATCGGGAATATTGATTATTAGAAGCGCAGAGATGGCTGAAATACAACCCCAAATTGCCACAAATTTTCTACGCCAGGGTTGTACTAGCTTTTAAAAAAAATTGTGGAAGCGAATTTGTGTGATAATTTTTGTTTAGAAAGTGTCGCACATAATGTGCAGTAGTGTTTACCTCACACCGTATCGAATTTAAAAAGCTGGTATTGCCTAATTGCCCATCCTTACTGTTATTCTGTGTTGCTCTAGCTCAGCGATTAAAGCCTCTACTGAGGAGAGAGTACAGCTGTCAAAACAAGATGGGGGTCTATACTCTAAACCATCTATGATTTTGTACTTCAATCTCAATCTTCACAAAATTTATTGCTTCTGCAGGACCGGTTGTTCAAAAGGCGATCAGCGCTAATCCTGGGTTAACTTAAAATTCAAAGCACACTTCCTGACAGCTTGTTTTTTAATTTGCAAATGTTTCTTCACAAATCATTTTTGGATCAATAGGAGTTTTCTTTTCTGACTTTTTGAAATAAATCGACATGCAGAAATATGCAAACTAAAACAGCGAGTTCAATTTTAACCCTGGGTTAACGATAATCTACCTTTGAACAACCGGCCCCCGGCATCTAAACTGAAACTGCAGATTTCTGAAATAAAAATTTTAAACCTCAATCTTAACATCTCTAATGTCTTATTATTTTACTTATCCATCACTAGATCCCAAGGGATATCCAGAAAATGTTGCAATCTCCGCTGATGATCGCCATGTTGTGTCGCTATCGTCAGATTCCTTGTCATGCTCGATAAAGGTATAGTAAAGACCAGAATACATGCATGTGAATATCATGATAGGCCTTCCATGGAGGGTGCATGATTACCGCCAAAATTAATATTTGAATTTTGCATTCCAAGTTCTAGATTTTGTTGTTCGTTCGTATTTTGAATTGAATTGAATTTTGATATTAGAGAATTGAAACTTGATGTTCGCAATTGAATTTGGACTCCTATTTACGCATTCTGTCCTTGAGCATTCCATTGTGATGACGTCAAATTATGCGTGACGCTCAGAACACAATTTTTAACTCGTATTTAATAGTAATTTATTTCCCGCAAATAATTTTAATGTTACATGCATGCAATGTGATCATATATATAAATTTGTAGTAAATGATATTACAAAATGGCGGAAAGAAGTGATGGTCTAGAGTTCTCATATCATCTTCGGAATTCCATTGTAAGCTGTATTGCAGACCTTGAAGGAAATCCAGATCGAGACTACAGCATTTTTCGCATCGACTCGCTTTATCACACTGCTCTTAGATTCGACAAAGCGTTTGAGTTAGATGAATCTTTTACTGATTTAATTTCACAAGCAAAGAACTTGCTCTTTGAGAGCCATGTTGGTACAGAGTTGTTAAACACATTTGTATGTCCATAAGCCTATGGCTTAAAATAACTTGTTTATCCCCAAGAATTACTTCGACCACGCTTCGCCGGACGTTGGGCGAAGGGTCGCCGGTCACCTAAATTCATCGTAGTTCACCTAAATTCATCGTAGTTCACCTAACGCAAGTGCAATTGCGAACTTCAAAATTTAATTCTTTGATTATCAAAATTCAATTCATTGACACGAACAACAAAATCTAGAACTTGGAATGCAAAATTCAAATATTAATTTTGGAGGAAATTACCCTCGGTGATAGCCTTCTCCCCATAACTTTAGATTTGTGTCGAAAATGTCCGCAGCACGTCTGCCTGGAAATTATTGACAAAAGTCTTCCGTAGAATTTTTCAGGATGTCTTAGAATAAATATCCCTCTGTAGAAGACCTGGTTGAACGCAAAATTTCTCCCAAGTTTCCACCCAATTTTTGGCCCGGTTTCTAAAGCCCCGCACAGACGAGCAATTTCTCGTTGACAAGTTTCTTGTCAAGATTATTTTCTCCTGTGCACGACAAACAATTTTTGTGATCAATTTTTCCGTGACCAGTTTTATTACGAGCCTGCATGTTGCGACACGTCCGAATACTTCATGTTCTACTATATAGGCCTGAAGACGAATGAAACTTTAATACTATGTACTGCATTTTCAAATCAAAGCATTTCCTTGTCAATTTTTCCTGGGGGGTCGTACACACGAACAGTTTTCCTGGTTCAAAAGCTGGCATAACCAGCTTTTGCCATACACACGAGCAAATAAAACTTGTCAAGGAAAAATTGCTCGTTTGTGCGGGGCTTAAAGTACCAGGGCATCAAATATAAAGAACTGCCATACTTTCAAGGAGACTAAAGTCTCCACAGGGAGGCAGTTGCCCCTCCACCTTTTATCACACGGGCAAGCTGGTAGGTTTTCGTATAAGGTATAATCAGGGGTTTCATAATGATTTGAAGTAGGCGGCTGTACCAAAAAAGTAGCCGGCTGTGACTGATAGTTAAAACATCGCGCGGAGAGGGGGGCGTGCCCTCGCATGGAAATTTAAAAAATTTTCGCCGCAAATTAACAATCAAATAATATAGAAAAAGTAAAAAGATAAAGTACAACTGTTAACATGTTAGATTTGAATGTCATTTGCATTTATACTTGTAAGTGACAATGTATTTTAATGTGCTACTAGTAGTTTAATTTTTACAGCTGCATGAACAGAATGACAATGTACACTATTAGTATTAATTTATGAGTCCGGGATCATTAATCAAATGATGTTATACTTATGTACGTAATGCAGTGTTGTAACGAGTCGAGTCATTGACTTGGACTCGAGTCAACTCGAGTTGCCATTTTCAGCGACTCGACTCGAGTCAAAAACGAAAAATGACTCGACTCGAGTCGAGTCAACAGCCCCAAATGACTCGACTCGGACTCGACTTGCTGATTTTGCCGTAAATTACTCGAGTCAACTCAGCTACAACTTGTAGAGAATAAATTCATCAAAATTATTGTGATTGTGTTGCTTGGGAAATACAATGAGCCCTGTGAGAACAATGAGAACTTCGAAATTTTATCAGAAAATATTTGGGATTTGCATAGAATACAGTATATTCCTGAAGGGCATGTCTATATTACATTTCTGTTTTTAGAAACAACACTTATGTACTTATGCTAATTCTGACTGGCTATCTTCGTTTTTGGTATTTATGAAGTGCTATATAATTTCAAATTAACTTACAAAGCATGGTTAAGTAGAGTCTATTCTTTGTTAATTCTGACTCCAGTTGCAAGTTATGCTAGTTGTATATACGTACACTCGATCAGCAGGCATGATGAGACATCTCATGTGGTTGTACTTAATATTGACTATAACTGTAATATTCGTACAGCCTATGGCTACTCAGATACTGTTATTACATGACTAAAGTGATTAGCTTAAAACGTAGATTTGATTACTAATTTCAAACTGCAAGCTAAAGTAGCAAACCCTTACAAAAAGCGTGAGGTGGACCGTTCTCGTCCCCAGAGCCATTTTCACTCGGTCACTCTTTGAAAAGTACGCTGTGGGTTAGGCGACTAAAGCGAGAGATCTGATTGGCTTCTCAGAGAAATCCTATTTCGCAGAAGTTGAGCAGTTTTAGCTAGGAAAAATTATTCTATCAACATATGTCAACGCAAGTACTTCGTGTCTTCGTAATACTTAATTTTGAAAATTGTTACGGGTGCTAAAGTGTCCCAATTTAAGACCATGCGCTTTAGAAACTACTGCAAGTTTACTTGCACTTCCGGTTCCGTATGTTTCAGGGCCTAGGGAGGTCGCGCGCGGCCAAGAGACCCTGGGGACAAGGATGTGGGTGGACTTGACTGAAGTTAAGTCTAGCTATTGGCTCGACTCGACTTAAACCAATGACTCGACTTGACTCGAGTGAAACTGCTGACTCGACTCGAGTGAAGCCACTGACTCGACTCGATCAGAAACTGAAATGACTCGATTCGACTCGTGACTCGACCTTTGAGTGACTCGACTCGTGACTCGACCTATAGGTGACTCGTTACAACACTGACGTAATGAACTTTACTTCATCACTTTATCATAATTAATTTACTTTCAAAGCATTAATTAGTCACTTGAAAAACATTTACCAAGGTAGCTCTGAATCTGACTCGTTCTCTGGCTCACTGTCAAATTCTGATTCCTCAATGCTTAAGTCACTGCCAGAGTCAATCAGAGTCATCTTCCTGTTCAGGAAGATTCAGAGCCGCTGACCATTTGCTACGAAATTCAAGATGGCGACGAGAAAACAAAGAATGTTTATATTATCGCTTTTTCGACAGCAATTTAAGAAAGCAAGCTATGTTTGGTACTATGTATTATTGATCTTCCAAACTAAGTGATGTTTTGAACTAAGAATTCTAGCTATAGCGTTCTTTACTAAACTTTATTTTTCTTGTCCTTGTATTTCTTTTAAACAAGTTTTATGTAGCACTAGTCAGTGAATTGACATCACAGATCCGAAACGACAAGACAAGACAAAAAACTTTATTGACCCATTTTTACAACAATAAAGACATTAAATAAATAAGTAGACATTTTACAATTTTATTATAGGGTCCTGGCAATCCTGAAATAACCTGGGATAGCTAAAAATACAGGGTTATAGGTGTTGGCGCGGTTATAAGACGTAGAAATTATGTAAATTCTGTAATCCTCCGAATATAGGCCAACCCGAACACAAGTCCCTCCGTGTATAAGCCTCTCTGTGTATAAGCCCATGGGCTTATTATTGGACAACAGCTCAGACGCGTGACGATAATTACATTACAGTATTATAATAAGTTGTCCAACTTGTTTTATTATGTGTTACATATTGTCTGTTTATATTTCTTTTCGTTCACGATGTAGTTTACAGGTACAATAAATATTACTAACACCAAATGTGGTCCGTATATAAGCCCCCCATATATAAGCCCCCTCCCCCCGATTGGATAGGCCCGTCAAAAAGTCCTTACCAATGAATATAACCCCAGGTCTTATATTCGGAGGTTTACGGTAACGTAGTAGTTTGAGGAAGAACGCCGTACTAGAATGTTCAAGGGAATACAATTTATAGTCGCCTGGAGCAGAAATGCTATTGTTAATGAACACGTATTCATTGACGTTGCCACTGTATTTCGCAAACTCATGCACTGTAATTAGCATTACTGATGTGACCTTCAAAATTAATGAAAATAAATTAGAGTAACTGTGTTTTAAATGTACAATAATGAACAATTATTGGATGAGGTTGAGCAGGGTATCCAGAATTTTCCACCGGGGTCAATGTTTTCTGCCGAAGGCTGAGGCAGATAACATTGACCGAGGTCTGAATAATTCTGGATTCCCTGCGTTCGCCGAATCCAATAATAGTTTTATTATTTATTCTGATACAGTAACGAATAAGACAAATAAAAATTAAAAACAAATGAAAGTTCAGTAAATTCATTAACTTCTCGTAAAATTTCCCGCCAATATCTCGGGCTACGTCTAGTAAGCTCTACAGATTACTGTTTCCGCTGAAAATAGTACAGGCACCTACAAATACTTAAAATTATTTGCAGGTTTTAGCCAATGAGAACACAGTACAATGAATAATAATGCCAAATATTAACCCTCTACTTCTAGCTCAACTAGAATAAGGAATGGGGGTTGTTCAGCGTGGCCTCAGGCAGCTGGAACAGCAGACCGGAATGGCGGAATCCGAACCACACGAATTGGTGGGGGAGGGGGAGACTCTGGGTTAGCCGTTTTCAGCGTGGGTGGACTTTTCTATCTTTGCGTTATGAATAATTATATTATCGAAGGTTATTTCATTTCCCAAAACAGAAACCCGAGAGAGAATACCAAGAAAGTCCCGGCAAAATCTCCAAACTTTCCACGGGATTTTCGAGATCCCAAAACTCTTGAACACTTGTTTGGAGTGATACACTCTTCGAGTTGGAAAATGCGATGTAAATTAGAGTATAATATTTAGTATACAGTATAATTATTTGCCATAATAAAGATCCGGGTTTTTTCTTGTGCACACATTAACCTGAAAGTGCGTATGCCAGTTAAAGAAACAAAAAATAGTATGAGATAAGCAACAAATGGCATTTATGTTTACATACATTTATGTTTACATTTATGTTTGCAATATAAGCAAAACTTAATGAACTGCAAACTTCGTTTTCTCTTTGGCGTACCAGCTAAAATTTCTTTATTTTAGCATTATTTTATTTTTGATCATGCGCTAAACATACATTTTAAGCAATTAAAACGTGTAGAAAAATTACGAAATTAATTTTGAATTCGGTAGTTTTGAGCGTGTGTTACCTAACGTACAAAATATCTCCTTTTTTTAAGGTTTGGGACTTGCTTGATGGCAATCAGATTTCTGGTATTGAGCTTGATAACAAAGCTGGGTTAGTTCGCTTCAGTACGGACGGGAGGCTAGTTATAATTGGATGTGAAGACGAGCGAGTTGTTATATGGGATTGGCAGAACTATGATAAAAAGCGGGTGGTCACCTTACCATCGTCATTCACCACATTTGCCGAAATAGCATGCGAAGGGAACATAATTTACACGTGCAGCCGAAATATGAAAGTTTGTCAAATCGATCTCGGCTCGCTAGAAGTATCGGCTGTTCGCCAAGGGCCCTATCCAAATTGTACACCTGTGGTTGTATTACCAGACGGCAAAACAGTATTGTTTTTGTCACTTGCTTATAGTGGGCTTGCCAAGTGGACACTTTCGTTTAACAGCGTGTTCGTATATGAAGCAGGTACGTAAATAGGAAGCTTTGTTTGTAATTTTCTTTAATAACAATTCATTTATACAATGGAAGACATTATACGGGGATTAATGAGGGAGGGAGCGACTGCTCCCTCCAATATTTTCTGAAAGCCTTTGCGTGGTAGGTAAATGACTGTGTATAACAGCTGTAACAATATTTTACAGTCATGAAAGTACGGGTAGGCTATAAATTAAAGCTGCGGTCAAACGAGGATGAGAGTTGATGAGAGTTTGCAGTCACGCATTATTACGGGGACATTTCCAGCTCCAGATGAACAAAATAAAGGTTTGATGAATGTTCCAACTATGTTTTAATTTAAGTAGAATACATGAAAGTGTTTTCAACTTTAATGCACTTTCGTTTGATCCGGGCCTAAGCGAATTTGCGGCAAAAATGCTTAAAGAACTGAAACTTACCGCAAAAAGATGGTGGCAACCTAAATTTGCCACCCCAGTACATTCCAAAGCGTATGCCATTGTGAAAAATAAACACACAAAAACATCATGACCGTCAACTCGGATTTTAAGTGCAGAGAGAAATGAGATTTATGCAGCTAGTAATGCAGTTTTGTGCAGTAATATTTTTTCTGTTTTTTGTAAAAATCATGGATAATAAAATAAATGGATAGGACTCTAGCTGACGTAAGTAAAAACAACCTAGTTGCAATCTGTGACGTCACGCGTATTGCAAAGTTCTCGGCATTTTTGTTGTTTCGCTATACTTCCCGCTTTAAAAGAGTAATATTGAAGCATATGCTGGTCTAATTGTTTTAAAAACATGCCTAAGCCACGACAAAGTATTCAAGGTAAATGTTTTTCGTCTTTGTTTTGTATTTTTTTACATTTGTAGCTACGAAATTGGCGTCCCCAATTTTAACGAAATTTGGGATGCCTTTTTCACTGTTTAGTGCTTGAAATATTTGCTAAAATTGACTGGGAATACTTAGAGATTTCATCGTAGAATGGCGTGGTTATATTCATTTGCTCGTTGACTAAAATGTTTAGCTGTATTATTGCTAAACATGCCGTTTTTGAGAATTTGGTTTGCAACTAGGTTTCAACATCCAATCACGCCATCAGCCCATTGAAAACATTAGGTCACGTCAGCTAGTTTTCTATCCATTTATTTTATTATCCATGGTAAAAATTAAGATCTGATATCAAATATAATAGGGATCAGGCATCAGAAATTATGTTCAAAAGCACAATGACTGTTCATATCTCCATCTTGGCCCTCTTTATCAATCGTAGCTGCGTGTTCATTACATTATATTTTTTAAGCCAATATATTTTATTACGCACTACGTATACAATCTCAGTTTTGGTTAGCTGCTGCCTGCTTATAATTCTTGGTGTCACGTAATTATGACGTCACATCTGCAGACAATAGTTTTCTGTATCTATAAATGTGATGTCATTTCTACAGAGAATAATCGCCACGCCAGCAAAAGCCAGCTCGTTTAAATTCGCCGCGTGAAAGCGATTTAGAAAACTGTTAAACGAAGAAGAAGCGAAAAACACTAAACGAGCTTCAAAGACAGTACTAAGAGTTTTCAATGAGTATCTTGCCTTAAAAGAAAAGGTTAAGCGAAATATCAAGAGAAAGAGGCCATTCCCAACGTCGTAAAACTATTTTACTCAAATTATTTTATTAATCCCTTGGTTTTTATACACGCATAATAATATAAAATAATTATTGAATTCGGTTTTTGCGTGATATCTGTAATTACCAAGGCCTGGTTTGTATTATCTGCCTCAGGTTCAGGGTACGGCTTCGCCACATGACACAACCTCGGCCTTGTTAATTCTCGGTATCACGCTCAACCTCGTCCAATAAGTCTTAACTATTTTAAGATCAGAAGACTTTTCAGGTAGATGCGGTTGCACTTAATTGACACCTCTGAAGCTACATAGCAACTCTCTTAAATTTTCTCCTTTCTAGCTCTTTGTGCAGTGACAAAATTTCTTTAAAATAATCCGTGCTTAATTAAGTTTATTTTTCCCACAAAATATCATGCATGTTTAAGATCTTTGAAGAATACACACGTTTTTATCAACACACGACTCACAAGCTACATACAGTATTCGCGTCCGTGTTGTGTATAAGATCTACAACCACTCGACTTCGGTTCTTGTTTTGAAATCTCATGCAACACGGCCGCCCGTGCTGTATACAGGTGTCCCAAGAACTGAAAATTCAGTAGCTGTGTTCCAGCTAATATTAGTCGGGATCGAAAATTTGATCTGAGATATTTGGGGTCATCAAACCTATTACTAGAGAACGAGTAGGAATACAACTTGACGAACATGAGATTTGTCTTTTGGGCGCCAGTCGCGCCATATTTTGCTGTCGCTATTTCCACGAAACATGCATGCAATGGCGACAGCAAAGTATGACGTGACAGCTGGCGCGCAGATGGCGATTTCCGTGTCGTACTCGTACTCGTACTGATGCATGATTTCAATGATCTATTGGTGAACCAGACTTTAGTTCAAAGCAGACATAACATCGGCTCTACTAGACCACTTTTAATAATCTTAGTGTCAAAATTCATCTCTTAGAATAAATTTTCGATGTGCACTAATAATTAGCTTTATTATATACCAATAGTCAAAGTCGCATTTTTCTAGTGTTTTATTGGTCGAGAGCATATCACGTGAGAGTGACGACTGACGAAATTAGACTGTCTCCCTCGCAACAGCACGAGAGGGAAACAATACGTTATCGATCGTCGAATAACGAAAACAAATCACGTGCGCCATCACGTGAAGATGCGACGTTTGGATATGCCTAGTAATTTATTAAACTTTCGCTTTAAGTAACTGCAGTGTTTAATTCAGTTAACGTTTTAACAATAAAATATTTCATGTATTTACGTTCATTTGTTCTTTAATTTGTTGTTTCTTTGACTATTGATATTTAGTATAAACCTACTAGTAGGCTATCACATTTCGTGCCTTCTGATTGGCTACGCTACTAGTAGGCTATTAGTGATAGCCTACTAATAGAAAATTCAAAATGGCGGAAAATTCGCGTTTTGCACTTTTGCCGAAGTGTCTGATGCTTTTTTGGACGACTTGTTGAACAATTCTGTACTAAAAACCCTCGGAAAAAGCAACAAAAATATGGAATGGCAATTTTTAAACAGTAAGAAAATAAACAAAATAACATACACTCAATGAAATTTTAAAATTAAAACTGAATTTTGTAAAACATTTTACGCGAACAAAAACTAAAATATTTGTTTACCTTTAATGGTTTTATAATGTTTTTTTTGTGTATTTTTGTATTGTGTTTGCAGCCTAGTTGTAAATTAATGTTAAAGTTTATACTAAAACAATTAGACAACTCGTCCTCGTTGTCTATGAGCAAATAGTCAACTCGGCTTCGCCTCGTTGACTATTCGCTCATAGACAACTCGGCCTCGTTGTCTAATTGTTAAATAATAAAACACTTATTTACTGAGACCTCGGGAAAGCAGTGTGTTTTGTGGACCCTCGACCGTCGATGTTTCCCTCGACTTCGCCTCGGGAAACATCGACGGTCTCGGGTCCACAAAACACACTGTTTCCCTCGGTCTCAGTAAATAAGTGATAATTATTCTTGTGATTTCGTAGGCCTAACTAAGTTTAGACTTTAGAACATATAATTTATAGAGAAATGTGTCTTTGTCAGTTCAGGCGCAAATCGCTTGCCCGATTAATGATTATATTATATGTATTAAATAGGGTGTTAACATTATATAATTACACGGGCAAGAATAGAATAGAATAGAATAGAATTACTTTATTTCACGAGGGAAAACGTATTAACCATAAAAGTTATCTAACATACGGCCCTCGCACTATTTTGATATTTACAGGCATAAAAAGTATTAAAGATTACGATCACTATTTACATATGAGAAGAAAAAAAAATAGTAATGAATAGAATTACAATTTAGTAAATATTTACAATTTATACAAAATAGATCTTCGATATGGTTAGTAAGGTTACTTTGAAATTTTGAATTTGGTTTCTGCTTCAGGTTTCCATACATGTTATTCATTCGACTCACTGCTTAGCAGCGCGCCGTGTTGTGAATCTACCGCGGTTCTGTCTCTATTCAAGTTAAAAATGACATGTTGAAATGCCTCCTAAAACTCAACATTTTATTGGCTGAATTATTTAATCCACTTGAGATCCTCCTTGCTTGCTTGAACTAAATCCACTTGAATCGCTCAACACATCACCTTCCAAGCGCGCTCGCCGCTTGCTAGTGTGACCGCGCAAAACACAAAACTCAAGCATGCTTATCTTGAAATCTAACACGATTTGCTTGAAATTTCAAAGGCATGCACCGAAGCACGATCCAGACACACTAGATAAAAAACCTCGAGTTGATGACAGAACCGCCATTTTGGGAAAACTGTATTATTAGAAAACTGTATTACTAGTATACTTATCAGTAGTAAATGCTGACTTGCTCCTTATAGAATTTGACGATATACCAATTTCGCGCACCTTGTCAATGCTGACTTTCTCCTTTAAATAACTTCATGATATATCAAAAACGGCCTCATCTTTCCATATTAAAAACCCCAGTTCAAATACAATCGTAATCTCCTAACCCATCGTAACTGTAAGCTCAACACTAACTTAATCGTTGTGACGTCATTATTGCAAATATTATGAATAAATCCTTGTTTCGGTCACAAATATATTTATGGTCTTTGATCTTGACCGTAATCGCAACCCATCCCTAACCCCAGCTTTATTGTGAGAATCTAACCATAAACTATTTCAATTCTTAATCTTTCTATCCTGCCGTTACTCTAATATCTGTGACATCAGAATGACATTAGTATGCCGTAAATTATACTTTTACAAGCGGGCTGCTCCGATTTACTGTTCTAGAACATTTGGAACACTGTTCTGGAACGATATAAAATGTGTGCACACGGTGTTCTGGAGTGCATACGCTGTTCTGGAACAGTGTTGAGTTTATTGTATATGCGTGCAACCATCATGGGCGTACCGGAAGAAAAAAATTAGGGGGGCGGAAAGAAATTTGCCCGACTTTTCCGGATTGTGCCCGACAAGTACCGAAAAAAGTTTATCCGGAATTTATTTTCGCGACTTCCCCCCCCCGTCCATTTAAGGGGTAAAAAAATTTTCGGACATACCAAAATTTTTCGAAACATCACACAAATTTTCCAAACATCACAAAATTGACCACAAAATTGACAGAATTTCCGACAAAATTGACAGAATTTGTCCCATTTATTTTTATAATAAACCAAAATTGCCCGACTGTTGATCGCATATTGCCCGACTGCCCAACAAACTGGGGGGGGGCTGCAGCCCCCCCCCCGCCCGGTACGCCCATGGCAACCATGCATTACTATAGTCTATAATAATTATTCGCGTAATAAAGCGTATAATGATTCGCTGTTATTTGTACATCTACGTATGCTTTTGCAACGTTTTTACTCGTTGATTTTGCCCAACCCTGGCTTTCAAATAGCATATATTAACTGACGTATATGTCGAAATATAGCGGTCAACCCTTCAAAATAACGCTCTACTGAGTGTGCATTGGATACACAAAATATGTCGCTTCCATTTCCAATCACGTGAAAATAGGCCACTGCCTATTCTGGCTGCCCCAACTCGAAAATCGGGGTAGTCAGAACTGTTCAGAACAGTCATGTGACTCTCTTCTGTTCCATTCCATTAGTGTTCCGAAAATCCGAAGTACTCCGAACAGTAAATGGAGCAGCTTGCTTTGAAACTCCATAAAACCGAAGAGTTATCACGGTTTGAAAATGAGCTATTTTGGCTATATTCTATTATAGCTAGCAAAATTTGGCTATATTCTATAAAAGCAAAAAATTTGGGGGGGGGGGAGATATTCATATAATATTCGTGTTCTGCCCGACGGATTTCTTTTGAAAGCGATTGTTTTTACGGTATGTCAACATGAATATATTCTATTCCAAATTTTAAGTTAAAACTAAGACATATTAAGGCAGCGTTTACACTGTACCTGTACTGTACCGCAGCGTTTACACTGTACCGTCGTAGCGTTCTCGTATTGTTCTTAATCCTCAAGGGAACGCAAGACAATAGTCTAGTTCTCTCGAACAATACGAGAACGCTACGAAAACGGTACAGTGTAAACGCTGCCTAAACTTCTCCAGCACTGATTTCTGGATAGTTATTAAGTACTTGTTTTAATTTTCAGTAGTTAATCAATATTGTCAGCACTTTTGTTGTGTTATCGGTTGTTGTCGATGTCCCTGTCGCAGTTTTTGTGAAATTGTCCTTGTTAATTTGCTATAATGTTGTCAGCACTTTTGTTGTGTTATCGGTTGTTGTCGATGTCCCTGTCGCAGTTTTTGTGAAATTGTCCTTGTTAATTTGCTATAATGTGTTTCAATAAAATTAATTAGGACTAAATGTAGTAATAATACAGTAAGTTTATGTGTTTGTAATTTTTGTCACTGAAAAGCCCCTTCAGGGGAGTGTCAATAATGTCAATAATCAATATATGAATATCCCCTCCCCAATTAGCGGTCTAGCTACGGCCTTGTATACAGAGTAAACATTCCTGAATTCACTGATGTGATTTTATTTTAGTTTCCTTGAAAAAACTATAATTTACTCATGATGATATTTCAATGCCACTTTTAAGGTCATGTTCACTGATCTGAAACATGCATAATACAATGGCATTTAACATAAATAAAATGCTATACAGGGTGTATAAAAAAAAGGGAGACCTTTAGAAATCAACCATATTGTTAAATGCCTTTTCAATTGCACATGTGCTGAACCGTATTGCATATATTAGAAAAAGGAGACCTTTAGAAATTGAAATAACGTTTAAACAAAGATTGTTTGCTCCTGGGAACAATCTGCCATGCATACTGTACGTAGATCGCATGTTACGCACTCGTGGGCTTAGCAAAGTGCTCCAGGATTCAAATTATAACAATGGTTGATTTCTAAAGGTCTCCTTTTTCTAATATGTGCACTCCATCAATATTTCACGCACCACGGTTCAGCATATGTGCAATTGAAAAGGCATTCAAATTTTAACAATATGCTTGATTTCTAAAGGTCTCCTTTTTTTATACACCCTGTATATATACAAACTTGAAAATTCTTTTATTTAAATTACTAAACAAAAAAGTTATCAAAACATATCTTTGAGAAAACGAGATCTTCACAGCAATGAGCCTCGTTGAGGCGCACGTTGCATTTCGGGAAGACCCTCATTCCTCCTCTGACTGAAATGACTAATGAGATTCCCCGTATTTATAGCATCATACATGATGCAGCATTCTGGTCGGTTAACAGCAATGCATTTTGGTCGGTTAAAAGCAATGCATTCTGGTCGGTTAACAGCAGTGCATTCTGGTCGGAGAAACGAAAGTAAAATCTTACTTTCAGAGCCCAATACGAATTAGAGTGCTGACTTGCTCGCACGTTTCAGGCTCGTTCGGCTGCGTCAGCAATTTGAAAACTACTGTGGCCCACAGGTGTCACGGCACAAACAAAAACTCAACGGCACAAACAAAATCTCCACGGCACAAAAGCAAAAAGCAAGGAGAACTGGGAACTGTACAAGAGAGTTGCTGTGGGCCCCATTAACCCTTTTGATAAGTGGCAATGCAGTCTAGTTTATAATTTTTCTCTGTCAAATGCCAAACGAATGTACTTGTCGATCAATGCAAGGGGAGAGCTCTGGCACTCAATGGGTTGACCATGCGACTACAGTATAGATACCCATGCATGCATCCTGTTAAGCTTAAGTGACAATGCGCCCCAGAGCATTCTTCTTCAAGTTTTCTACCCATCTCAGGATTTTTCTTGGCATCTAGAGTGTAATAGAAATACATCCAATCAGTCCTGTACTACTGATGAACATTCATTATTTTCGCCCTTTCAAATATTAAAATGTCATTTCAGACATAGAAATTAGAGTGTTCTGAATACGTATATCCCTTTTTATAAACCTATCACACCCATTTTCTATTGTTCTCGGTCGGTTTTGGTTTCCGACTAAAGACCAGATTCTGAAGGCTGAGCTGTAAGTAAGACCCGTACCGGGTTTTACATTTTCAATTCAAGACCTGGCATAAGTCCTGAATTCGAGACTTGAATTTGCTCAAGTCCCACATCTCCTTTTCGACTAGAGAACGCTGAACGTCTCTGAGTCGAGAAAAAGACAACAGCCGTGTATCTCAGAGCCCGTCAAACTCTACCATTAAGGCCTTATTCCACGACGAGCGAATTGCGAAAAATATCGCACGAAAAAGTTGAACGCATGCGCGACATGATTTTGGAATTTTCTCTGCGAAATATTTATTTATCTTTGCGAAATGCTTGTGTTTTGGCGAATTTTTTCTCTACATTGGAAATCACTACGAGAGAAAATTTTCGCACAAAAGTGTGTTTTCGCGCGAAATTTTTCGCATTTCGCTCGTCGTGGAATTAGGCCTTTCATCTTCAGTAATTTTAGCTCATTTTAAGGCCAAGGTTGGAAAAAAATAGTAAAAAGCTAAAAATTGTTAGATGCAATAATTTAACTATCCTGAACAATATACTAAAAGTCCCCATGTATCCTCTTGGAGCTTTTTCCATTATGACAAGGTTTTTTTCGACTTCCCTATTACCCCCATATTGTTAAAAAACGTGAAATTTCAAGTTCACTCATAACAAAAATGACTCGCATCACTAGAAAGCTCATAAAAACTACATATAAGACATTTAAACAGTCACCTAAATTTTTCAAGCGGTTTTCGAGTTATTGCTGTTCCAAATGTGGCAAATAGGCCGAAATCTGGCAAAAATCCTGGGTACTAGTCTGACAACACGTTTCCAACGGCTCATAACTCAAGAAGAACTTGCAAAATCAAGGTAGCCGTTTAAATGTCTTATATGTACTTTTTGTATTAAACTTTTCTAATGATGTAACTTATTTTTCCTATAAATGAATCTGAAATTCGGGGAAATGAAAGATCAAACTGAAAAAGTATTGGAGGAAATAGAGAAATCCGGATCTAACAACCTGCCCGTGAATTTTCTCAAACTTTCCGTCACGCAAAAACTTTGGGATATCGTCTTTGCAATGGACAGTCGAAAGAAAACCGCAACAAGGCAGAAATACATCACACAGCATCTTACTGTAATTAACGAATACAGAAGTTTAGATGAACTTTTATCTGGATGGAAAGCTGTTTTAGCTAGCTACAGCTTTCACACCGAAGGGAGGCTGCTATCGCAAAAGATTATTTCAGCGGTATATGAAAAGATATGTGAATTCCGCTCTATTTCTGCCCTGCCTTGAGCATCGTCGAGAAATACGAAGAATTTAGTCAAAACAACAACAGGCTTACTCCAGTTTAACCTGAGTATCAGGCCCTCGGTATTGAAAGAGGGCCTGACACAATTCGCCTCTAAAGCCATGTTCAACATCCAGAATCTGGATGTTATGCTGATTGGCTAAGAGACGATAAAACGCATCATGTGATTCAAACCGGAAATATATGACCGGCGTATGTAAACACCAAAAATAGAATTTGTAATTTTGATTTATTTCTGAAATTTATTTTCAATTAATTAAGCTTAAAAATGACTAAATAAGTACGAAAAGACGTTGAAAACGCTTTTGCAGCAACATTTTACTCGGTATAAAACTAAAACTACATAGTCATAGTAGAAAGCGTGTCTAAATTGATCTCGCCGTAATAGTCGCCGTAGAACGAAAATATGTGGATGTCGGAAATTTTCAAATATTTAGTTCTAAAAAGCTGAAGCCTTATTTATCAGTTTATTGCCGAGCTGTTTTCCAAGACCTGCAAGGATATGGTAGTCAGCTCGCTCGAACTAATATGCCAACATCAGGCAGAAATTGAAGACAATAGCCGCTGTGTCAGACGCAGTTAAAGCGAATAGCTGTCTCGAATAAACTATTAACATGACACGAGGACCGAGGAAGAAGAAATCCTATTCAGAGCGCCGAATGTTGTCTCTTTAGACTCCTGGAAAAAAGCCATCGAGCTATGGTTCCCCGAATGAGGCATAGTTTACCCTTAGAATTCCATCATGTGGATATTTCGACAAAAACATACCGATTTCTCTCCGTATTTATTCAAGTTTTAATATACAAAACTGCAAATAACGAAATTTGCGTATTTACATACCTGTAGCGGACAACCGGAAATATGCTACAACCGGAAATAATTTTAATTGGTTGATATTCTGGGGGTGGAAAGCCCGTAGAGGTGAATTGTGTCAGGCTCTCTTCAATACCGAGGGCCTGATACTCAGGTTAACTCCAGTTGAGCGACTGATTATCGTATATATTGCAGGGTATGTTTACAGAAAGACCAGAGACAAATTACAAACAAAGATTCGCAGACTTTAAACGTGAAAGACAAGTGTCAGAAGTTAGCTAAGATTGTGGAAATTTTAAGTATATATGTGCCAAGCATAGAAACCCAACCACCGGGAGGTGGTGGCCTTACAACGATAGGTCTTTTAGATTTGGAGTTCTTTTGTTCTCTGGAAATGTCTATTTGGCCGTTTCTTAATATAGCACACTTTAGGGATAGTACTTGTAAGTCTGATGCTGAATTGGTTGAACAGCTTGTTGATAACAGACCGCACAGTTGTTGGAAAAATGGCCTTTTCTGCTCAGCTTGATCATGAAGATAACATGTTACTTATTCGACTCTTTGCCAGTTTGTTCTATCGGGTAAGGAAATAGGCATATCTGAAGGTATACAAAGAACATAAAAAAATTAATGAAACACTTACACATGTCCACCAAGATTCAAAACATGTTGATTTGCATGGGATGGACAGCATTAGAAAAGCATTATTGTGCACTGGTGTGAGCATGCAATGATATTTGACAATTGTATCTTTTATATTATTTATTATAAATAAAGTCGATATTAACTGTTAGCAGGTGTTTATAGTCTTTATATAGTTATATATGACATACCATATGCTGATATACTTTAGATATCAAACATAGGATTAAGGGCATAGGAACCAGGGGCACTGGAGGCATATGATGTGCCCCTTAAAAAAACATGTCCTACAAAAAATATCCCATTGCATTATATTTACACTAATAATATATAACAGTTACCATACCAGTAAGATATTAATTGGGTCACAAATTCAGTTTCTACCCACAAATCCAACCTGATATAGCTCCAAAAAGCTTGGTACTTTTATAATCAATGGTTAGTTTAATTTCAATGCAATAAACTTATTTTCATATTTTTAATGATTTATTAATTAGATTAATACAATCTGACATATTATAATACATATATACAGATTATTTCATTTAATCATGTTGCAAACTTGCAGTGCACAAAATTATCTCAAGATGTATATATATATATATATATATATATATATATATATATATATATATATATATATATATATATATATATATATATATATATATATATATATATATTATTATAAACTTTTAGGTTTTAGGTTTACTGCCAAAACAACTAATCCAATATGCTATTGTTGTTTATCCTACTGTGCCATAGAAAAAAACTCTACAAACAAAACATGTAGTGTGGCATCACCCCATTAACATTAATTTAATTAAATCATGCAGATACTGATTGAAACATACACATGTGTGACATTAATGATTAGCATAATACAACATTAGCCCTTTAACGCCTGGCGGTAACATATGTGTACAAATTTCAGAGCAAACATGACGTCAGAATTTCTAATTTCGGTGTATGTTGTTGACTTGTACTTCGTGTAATAATTATAAAGAGTATCCTAAAACCTTCTTTTGAGTGATTGGAATTAGTGGCGGCAAGTATGTAAACATGGCGTCGTTTAGTGAAATGTGTGCGAGGTAAGCTTATTGATAATTTCTTCCAAATTTTGGGTTATTTTGTCATAAAAAGCGATGACATAATATGAGGAAGTTAAGATAACAGTTTTAGAAATGCAAGTAAACGAAAATATGCTGTATTTATCAGTCCTAGACTGGTATTTCATGTGAATTTTCTAGCACGAACGTTTTGTGCACATATGTGCACATGAGGAATTTATGGAATGAATTTGTAAGTTACAGCAGTGATGTTTGACTGCATTATCTGATTGCTAATGGAATTAAAGGCGTAACAATTTTATTCTTTCTAGCACTGTATTTCATAAGCAAGCTTTTGCCAAATAAATTTCCCCATTCTCTGTTTTTTTATAGTACATCATGCAACATTCTGAATCCAAGGTTGGGTCTCTTCATGCAGAATTGATAGTATAGACTTTTCATGAAGACTTCCATGTTTGTAGTTCAAGCCAGCCAAGTTCCAAAGGATGTATACGTGACAAATGAAACCACTGGCCTCTTCCGGTTGAGAAGCCTCGACGTTGCGAAAACACTGGTTGTAGCAGAACAACAAGTTTTTGTCCTCAAAGTGCCGAGTGTACCTGTGCGTAACAGGGACAACATGCTTTTTGGATTACCATGGCATAACTTCTGAATAACTGTACAATTCTTGTAAATATTATATGATTTTCATTATACTCAGATAATTAAAAAATTATGTTTTTCATTCCATAAATTCCTGATGTCAACATATGTGCACAAAAAATATATCCTAAACTAGCTTACTTATGGCCGAAAAAAATACAAATATTTGTTCATCAAGGTGAATTTACGCATATACAATAGTTTTCCCATTTTTAATATTTTTAGTTTAGTCCCAGGCCTTAAAGGGTTAATGATTAGCATAATCTGCTTAATAACACAACACATGTTTGCAGTATTTTTTTATGATCTTACGCTTAGCTACTTTCAAGTCTGGATCAAGATCATCAAGAGCACCACCATTCCTCTTCAACAGTCTAACAAATTTCATTGCATGAGTCTGGCAAAAGGAAGTACTAGCAAAAGATTGTTGGAATTCACTACATGTAATGACCCCATATGCACCCCTCTGCTGCCGTAACTTTCCAAAAACTTCTCGATTGGGTCCTGATTAAACTTAGTGGCAACAACATAAGCTACATCTGGAATTTTAAGCAAAAACTGCACAACCTCTACAAAGGAGTTAATACAGATCTGCAAACCTTCCCAAGTTTGACCACTTATAAAGTACTGCTTACGCTCAGATAATGGCACGTCTGTCTGAAAGCCCAGCCTCGTCCCCAGGCGCTTTGATTTGCTGCGCCGTTTCGTGAGAACCTGGGGACAAGGCTGCCTAAAGCCCATTCCTCCCAATCCTGAAAATACTTCAAAAAGTCAGTTTTAAGCCAAACAAGCCTCCTATCATCTGCACTATACGGTAAACACTTTTAAACTCAAATTTAGTATAAACTTTGTTGGCATTCAAGTGCCCTTTTTCCGGGAGCAAAGTGCCCTTTTTTAGCCTGAAAATTTTTCATTAAAATTGTATTTTTAGGCCAAGGTGCACTTTTGAAAACTTCAATGTAAGTTATTTCCTGAAAAATATTTTAATTTCCGGAAAAAATATCATATATCCGGAAAATTTTGTTGTATTCCGGAAAAATTTTGTCGTATTTAGGAAAAAAATGTTGTATATCCGGAAAATTGTTATGATATGTCCGGAAAAATTTTTTTGGACCCCTAAAATGGTACACTGACCAAAAATTTTTTGGCGAGGGGGGGGGAGGGCGCAAAAAAATAATTTTTAGATGCCCTTTTTTTTCGGAAAGTGCCCCTCAAAGCCTGCCCCCCCTCCCAACTTTTCGAAGGTTCCTACGCCCCTGTTGGCATTAAGACAGTCAAAAAAGTCATTCATGTTCTTAACAAACTTAATGGTTTCTTCCGTCCCTGCTTTTCCCTGAATTGTCATGATACAAGCAACCCTATTACTGAAAACCTGGGCAGCTAAATAAACCCTAATTCTTAAGTATGGATTCAGGAAAAGATGATCATTGTTTAATTTATGAAGAATCCGAAAACCTGAGGCATTTGAATCATTTATATCATTTTCAAAAGCATCAATTAACTGTAGCCAACTTATCCACCTATTGTTGTTCCTTAATTTTTTGTTTTATTTTTCCAAAAACTATTTTCCCATTTGTTACGGTGTCTTTAAAGGGTGAACTGGATCACAGATAAAGAATAACGGTCGCTCTTCATCAGCATAGGGATTTGGTGTTTTATAAAGTATTTTCGTTTGAGTGTCACCTGGTATGATATGATACTTATAAAACGTAAGGTTAGAGGGATGCACCATCACAAGTTTTGATAAGAACCTTAAAATCCCTCTCCTCTAATTCTTCAACACATTTCCAAAAGAGATTAAACAGTACAAAAGACTTAATTGTGGTTGTTGGAAAGAATGCAATTGGCATTTTCCAATCAGAACATAGGCTAGCAGCCATAAACAGAATAATGTGCGTTGCCTCTACTGGCGAACTGGTAGAACATCCCCCCAACTGAAAGTGAATCCTCCAAGAAATCAATAGCATTCTGTGTGGAGCCCAAATTAACAAACCCAACTAGCCTACCTGAATCATCGAACAGAAGGTCCCCCCGCATGAGACTTCATCATGAATGATTCCTATCCATGTGATGAATCACATTCTTTAGGATTACATCTTTCTAAAACATCTTTCTTAACTATATCTAAAAAGTTAGAAGCAAAACCTATTTTAGCCTTAAAGCAATGACTGTAGTCACGTAATGTCCTACTATGAGGTAGAGTTAATATACCACTTTCCCGAAGCATCTGGTATGCTTTTGGGAATGTTGCATGCATCTGAAAGCACCACCTAATTATTAAAGGGTGCCATCTTCTTCCTCTTTTTTCTGAGTACTGCATTGCTTTCTCTTGCTCTTCTAGCAACAAGGATTTAAAGTCGTCCTTATTTTCACATTTGTTTTGTGACTGCAAGTAGTCTGATACAAGTTCAATAGATTCATCTTCAAATCTCTTTTTTAGCCGTTGAATTTGACGAAATTGTTGTTTTCTATCTTGCCTGCAATTCTTTACCCTTTCTTTGTGTTCTTCCTCCGATAGATGTTTCCATGGACAATGACTGTTGACCTTGATATTTGCTTTCACCAAAGATACTTCACACAACTGCTTACGTAGCAAAATTGTCAGAAGGCATTTACGGTATGATATATTATATTTACAACAGTCACACAAATTACCATTGGCAGTTGTTGGGACAACTCCACAGCAATCAACTGGTCTGATAACGTCATCATTTTTCAGTTCACCTTTGATATTCCCTTGTCGATCTTTAAACATTCCATTCCGGTTTTTCAACTTAGACAATTCAATAAGTTTATTGTCTTGTACGCCAGAGCATGCTTTGCAAGCATCCATAAAATCCAACAGCAAAATAAAGGCATTTGTGTCATTTAAAGTGTTGCAAATTCCAAGTACGTTCTCCTTCACATTCTTATTCTTAATTATACAGTTCCATGTCAGGTCTTCATTGACAATCACAGTTTTTGCAACACTTGGAGGCAATGCCCCATTTTCACAAAAAGTGGAAAGCATTAAGAATGGATGATCATGATTAACCAAGGTCCAAAATGTCAACATTAACCAATAATTTGAAGACTTAAATTGTTGATGCATCCACTAAAATTGTTGATGCATCCATCAAAAATTTCGTAGGTGAAACTGAAACTTGTATGGTAAACCCTGAGTGTCGATAATATCTGTGGTGCTCGTTTTGTATATTCTGTGGGAATTTTGTATATTCTGTGAGACTTGCCCATAATGCAAAGTGATAATGCTACATACCTTAAAAACAGATGAAATTCAAATTAACCAACAATTCACAACATATCTGGTTGCCAGATGACAAATTTAGTTACATTTAGCAACCTGGTGCCACAATGACATCCTTTTCTCGATTTACTCCTTAGTCGTGATTTGGGTCTTAGCAACAAATCGCCCGCAGACAAGGCTCATACGATGGGGCAAATTTACGGCAAAAGTTTAATAAAATACGACCTTATTTCTAATTTTAATTGTTGTAAAGCCACAAATTGACCAATTGTTTTTACATTATGACATATTTGAAAGACACTACACGAAATTAAATCAACAAAAAATGCATAAAAAAACAACTAACAAAATGTACTAAAATCGGACTATTTTGTGACGCCATTTCCTCGAAAGTTTATCAACCTGAATGTAAACAATCGCAGTGTAATCTTACCTTGAATAGTGCTTTGTGGCTTAAGCCATGTCTCCGTGTTCGCGCCATCATCATAAACATACAAAATAAACAAAGAGTTGTCAACTGAAAATGTAAGGAAAATGTTAAAAATCTCAGTCAAAAGTGCGAAAGAAAAGCAATACATAGCCTACGTGATATTTCGCCAACACTTACATCACAATTTTCAACAAGGTTGCGGCCATTTTTGAAAGAGCTAAAAATCGTTTCAACCAATCAAAGAGCTTGATACATACCACGTGATAAAGAGTTTCATATCCAGTGTTTTTATTATCCATGATTTGACTAAATAGTTAAATTTAAAAATTTTTGTTTGTGCAAGCCTTTGACCGAGCTTGCTGTTACGTATTCGGCAAAGGCGATGCGTGCAGAAAGTGAAACGTAGTCGGGGTCGGGAATCTCTGGATGTGTTTTGTGTCTTTTGTCTGACTTAGCATTGTTTTTTTCTTGACATTTTTTAAAATCTTTTCCGGCTTTTCTAAAAGGTTAGGATTAGGGGTTAGGGTTAGAGAAGGGTTTGGGGTTGGGGTCGTTTTATCTTATAAAAATTCAACTTTAACTATAGTCACAAAACTGGCGGACATTTAATAGTTTTTTCATGAAACATTGTCCGGCTGCCGGACATATGATCACTTCGATTAAAGAACTGTATTTATTTAGATTTAGATAAATATGATAGCGATAACAAATTTATTAAAGTACGACGTTTCGAAGTCATCTTGACCTCATTTTCAAGTTAAAATTATTACAGAAAACAATTAAATTAATATGAATAGCGTTTACAAATAATTGCGCAAGCAAACTATACCTAATTCGTCATACATGACAGTTGCAATTTTAAGCACCCTAAGACCTTATCACAGATGAGGTAAGTACAGATATGAATCTCACGGCAAATTATGTCACACGGATTAAATAAACTTTAAAATTGTATTAATTCACTATTTTATTAAATTTTGATAATGCAGAGGAATAAAACTATACATATTATAGAAGTATTCATGTTTTTTTTTTATGCCAGAGCTATGTTTTGAGGAATTTATATCATTCGTTGTTTTGTTATTATACATGAGCATCTGAAATTCCCAGCAAGTGTATTTCACGATTTTAATAAGGAATAGATAGGGGAAAAAACAACTTTTGCTAAATAAAATGTTATGTTAACACTTTTAATAAAAAGAAATCAATAAAAGTGATCGCTTACCGATACTCTTGAAGAATTAATTCCAAAAATAGCCGTCGGTAGCGTAGATTTTTTAAAAAAACAATTTTTCGTCTTTCGAACGGCGTTTTCCTATCTCTTTCCTTATTAAATTTCAGAACGACACTTGCCAGCGCTCGCCGGAAGTGAGAATTCCGTGTGACACAAAACAATCAGCAATTTGACGGAAGATTCACATCTGTACCTACCTCATCTGTGACCTTATTAGTGAGATTCAGATCTGACGTCCACTACCGCTACCGCTACCATTAAGGGACCATTAGCCAATCAGATGCGTTTGATATATCCGATCAACCAATCAGATGTTTACTAAACCAGTGAGAGGTATAAGTGGTTGTGGAAATCAAATCTGAACCTCTCTGTGCGACGCAGATTATGTCGGTTACACTTGCCGACACTTACATCAACGCATTAATGAACACAAGTCATCGGTTGTCGGAGAACATATGTTTGAACAGCACCTGCAGTGGCGTAACGCTCATTGGGTAGGGTTAGTTCAAAAACTAAGGGGCCCCGGGGCCTAACCCCCCCCCCCCCTTTCTCCGTTACGCCACTGACAGCACAGTGAAGACGCAAATAACATCAAGAAAAACTTCAAGGTGTTGAGAAAAATGTCGGGGAAAGTTCGGGTGTTTACTCTATATGTATAGGTTATTCATTAAAGATCTTAAACCTAGTTAAACAAACAATCGGACTCGGTACGCGATCAATATACAGTTACTTTATGGTTTCCGTGTTTGGATGGCCTGATCCAAACACGCGGGAATGTTGCGAGGGTTAAGAAAAGCGAGCGAAATCACGAGCCGAAGGCGAGTGATTTTGCCCGCTTTTCTTAACTCGAGCAACATTCCCAAGTGTTTGGATCATTCCATCCAAACAGGGAAACCATAAAGTAATTGTTTTATAAAATAACAACAATACGATAGTCTTCCGTGTTTGGATGGCCTTATCCAAACACGGGTTTCGACCAATCAGAATACGCGTTATGTACATGTTATTTTATAAAACTATTTACTTAACATCCTCTATTAGCATATTTGTTGTCTAGTGTTGTTTTATTGTTTGTTTAATTGTTTAATTGTTATTCAATTTAAATGTTTAATTATTCTAATAATCTAATTATGTTAATTAATTAAGGTCTTAGGGGGCTTAAAGTTAAAATAGCAACTGTCATGTATGACGAAGAGCTCCACCTTTGAATTTACTATATGAGTAAATTCTTAAACACGTCCGAGATTTTTGAAGATTTTCAAAAAATAGTTTTTAAAAAAGCTCTAAAAACTTTTAAAAGATTTTTAAAAAGCAAAAAAAGTTTAAAAAGTTAGATTTTTAAAAAAGTTAAAAATTTTTAAAAAGTTTAAAAAGTTAGGGTTAGGGTTATAATTAGGGGTTAGTGGTTAGGGGTTAGTGGTTAGGGTTAGGGTTGGGGTTACTGTTAGCGGTGCCGCGAATTTATTATATTATGATAAATTCAAAATGTGCCGCGAATTTATCATAATGATAAATTCGGACGTGTCTAAGAATTTGCTCATATAGTAAATTCAAAGGTGGAGCTCATGCTGATTAAACGCTATCCATATTAATTTAATTGTTTTCTGTAATAATTCGAACTTGAAAATGAGGTAAAGATGACTTCGAAACGTCGTTCTTTAATAAATTTGTTGTCGCTATCATATTTGTCTAAATCTATATCAAAAAGTTTATTGATAGGTAGTTTATTTAGTGCAAATAAAGCACAGAAATTTCGGCATTTTTTCTTGATAGTTTTTTATATAAACTTTCAGCAGAGTTTCAGCCATTTTGTGCAAAAACAGGGGGGGGGGTGAAATCGTCGTCTGAAGCTTAAGATCGAAGTTAGCCAGCGGTAATTACTATGGGAATTAGTTCAATGTTTAATTGAGACCAGTGGCGTCATTCTGGCGTCAGCAAAGGCCGAAATCCGCCATGTTTTTGGCGACACGTTTTATGCCGAGCACGTTCTCCAGTAATATAGTAAAGCTCAGTGGTTTAAGCATAGCAGCCCAAAAAAATAAATGTATTCACTTAAAAATGCGTTAAAAACACTTAAATACACATAAAGTTCGCCTGACTTTACTGTCTAGCGATTTCATTATTGTGTAGCTCATTATGATGGAAATTGATGGAAGGTAGAAGAAAAGCAGTCGAGATTAGTTTTATACATTTATTAGACATAACCTGGAGCAGTTGCGAAAAATGCAACAAATTGGCCCTCTGGCAGCTGAAGAGTCCAGCAGTTCGATTCCTGCCAGTAGGCCTATACTGTAGTTGCATTTTGGGGATTTTTTCCTGAAAGAGTTAAATATATTAAAAATGCATGTTTCTTACTATACCGTTGTTTTGTATTACAGCACAGGGAGCCCAAGCGTTGATCTGCGTTTAATTGAATTATTTCACTACATTACACTGAATATGTCATATAATAATAATAATACTCCTTTAGTCGAACATATAATAACAACATTTATTATATACACAAGGTCTAGATATGAGGTATTCTGCAATCTGATTGGTTCTCTACTAGCAGGATATTAGCTCATATCCTGCTAGTGGAGAAAAACAAAATGGCGGCCAAACTGAATTTACGATGTTTTGCAAACGAGAAAACGGCAAGTTGTCGCTTTTTATAGCCTTTACAGGATTAAAAACACAATGAAAAAACTCCCACAAGTTGTTTTCAGGTTAGCAAATAAATTTTTAAAATTTAAAATGGTTAAAAATATATATTTTTGAAAAAATAATCGGCCGAAAGAGCGAAGATAAAAACATAAACAAAATAGAAAAATATTGAAAATATCCGAAAAGCAAAGTCTGTGAATTCAGACCTTGTGTATATAATAAAACAGTTATTCCACTCACTCTCGTCGAATATGAGCGATAGCCGATTCGGCGCTACGCGCCTCATCGGCTATCAGCTCATATTCGACTCGAGTTCGTAGAATAACTGTTAAAAAGTTGATTTGTATTTGTATGGCTTGTATGTTTTTCAGTTTATTTAAGATCTATTATTAGCTTATATAAAAGCACCGCCTTTCGAACCTGACAGCCCGTTCGCAGGCAGGGGCGAACCCT